ATGATACGATGTTCTTTTGCAATTCTAGCCCTACATGTGTATCCTCGTTGATGGACATCCTGCGAAAATATAAGAGACTCTTGGGACAGCGAATTAATTTTGCCAAGTCCTCCATTAATTTCTCAGCCAAGACCCCGGCTGAGGTGAAATCTCGAGTGAAAAATACTCTGAAAATAGAGGCAGAGGGTGGAATAGGAAAAAACTTGGGCTTGCCAGAACTGTTCGGAAGAAAGAAGCGTGATATATTTGCAGCAATAGTTGATCGAGTCCGACAAAAAGCGTTCAGCTGGACATCTCGGTTCTTATCTGGAGCAGGAAAGCAAATCCTTCTGAAATCCGTTCTCTCGACAATGCTGTGTTATGCGATGTCATGCTTTAAGCTCCCAGCATCACTATGCAAGCAAATTCAGTCTGTATTAACAGGATTTTGGTGGGATACTAACCCGGAGAAAAAAAAGATGTGTTGGGTTGCTTGGTCGACCCTAACTATGCCCAAATATGCAAGAGGCCTCGGGTTCCGAGATTTAGAAACTTTCAACGATGCTCTTCTCGCTAAAATCGGGTGGAGATTACTTAAGGAACCACAGTCACTTCTGGCTCGGGTTCTTTTAGGTAAATATGCAAAAAATTCATGCTTCTTAGACTGTCTACCTCTTGCAAACTCTTCTCATGGGTGGCGTAGCATTCTTGCGGGTAGAGAGATCTTAAGGAAAGGACTCATTTGGGTGGTGGGAAGCGGTCAGAACATCCGTGTCTGGTCGGACTCGTGGCTGTCTTACGAGACTCCAATCACTCCAATGGGGCCACCACCTAAAGACGCGACCAACCTCCTAGTAAGCGACCTCCTATGTCCTCTATCTAATGCTTGGGATGTAACTAAAATCAGGAGATTTCTACCTCAGTATGAGGAAATTATACAGCGACTAGTGACAAGCTCTGGCCCTTCACAAGATGAATTGGTGTGGTTACCGGAAAAATCCGGAATTTACTCAACAAGGTCTGCTAATGGAGTGGGAATGCGTGATCACCCTCCTCAGCCCCCACCTTTTCCGGAGTTCAGTTGGTTAAAGAATATCAGGAACGTAAAAACATCACCAAAACTGAAAGATATCCTCTGGAAGTTGGTCAAAAAGGCGATTCCAGTGAGCTCCAACTTGTTATCTAGGGATTTTACCCCCTTTGCTTGCAAATCGTGTGGTGGTGTGGAAGATGATCTACATGTTTTCTTACACTGTCCGGTTGCGAAGGAGGTCTGGGATTATCTCCCCATCTCCTTTATTCCGACAGATTCTATACCTACTATGGCTCATCTCATCTCGACTGGAGAAAGGTTATTAACACTACCGCCAGTGGGGGTCTCAGTTCCTCTATGGCCTTGGGTGTTATGGAACCTATGGAAAGCACACAACAAACTCTGTTTTGATAACAAATCCTTCTCCAGTATGGAGATTATTAATAAGACCATCGCCGATGCGCGTGAATGGAAAAATGCTCAGATGGTCGAAACTTCAACTCCTTCTCCACCGCGATCACTCCCTGCTCCAACACCTAATACTCAGGCGCCTCAGGTAGCTCCTCTCCCCTTTGGGTCTGTTGTCTGCAATGTGGATGCTTCCTGGAACCTTGTGTCTTTCTCTTGTGGCGTTGGAGTTGTTTTCTCAGGAATAAGTTCTCCTCTACTTCCTCCTGTCTGAGATTCTCGCAAGTTTATCTCTTCGGCTCTCATGGCTAAGGCCTTAGCCGTTCGTTTAGCAGTGATGTCCACTGCCTCGTCCAACATTAAATCTCTTGTGGTTCTGTCTGATTCCCTCTCTTTGGTTACTATCTTGAAGAAAGGCGAATCTCGTCCAGCACTATTTGGGATTTTGTTCGACATTTATCTCTTTGGTTCTACTATTGAAACTCTGTCTTTTAAGTTTTTTCCCGTTTGGAAAATGTGGAAGCCGATCGCTTGGCTAGGTGTACTCTTGATGTATTAAACTCTACCTCCCCTGTGAGAGTGTGCTAGATTTTATGAATGAATGAAATATCTCTTTGCTCAAAAAAAAAAACATCCATTCACCACTAAATTGCATAACTAAACATAATTATTAAAATAGTACAATCCTGCATGCTGATTAATAATATATTGCTTTTTGGAACTGCATGTAAAAGAGAGTAAAACAAGGCTGGCCAGATGCAGATGCCCAATGGGATGTCTAGCTTCTTCTTTTTTTAAGTCTACTATCTATAAATCATGTAATACTTTATTTTGTTTGATTAAAAATAAGTTAAAATTTATTTTCAATAATACTTAGTAGAAAATTCACTTATTCTCTAAAATAGATTATAACATATATACATACATTTTCATTTCATATATTAAACTAATATATATATATAATAATATATCGATGGATTAAACACACATACACACACACACACACACATATATATATATATATATATATACAATACTTAGATAGATACACAGAAATTAAATAATTTTATAAACTTTTACATAAAATAAAGATATTTAATAAATCCATAATTTTTATATATTACGTTTACACTAATATATATATATATATTTATTTATATAAAATAGTATTTAATATTTTATTTATTTATTTTAAAAAAAATTATTTATAGAATAAAAATAATTTTATAGATATTTGCATAAAATTGGTCTATTTAATATTTACATAATTTGTATATATTATGTTTACAATAATTAGAGATACATACTATTTTTGTATTATCTATTTTCGGCTGCACTAAAAATAATATATAATTTTTACATTGATAGAAAAACATATATAAATGATATATTTGTCTTGTTTCTAATTAGTATTGATATTTTGCAGGCCGTCCTTAAATTTTAGAATAATTTAAGTGAAGATTTTACTGATACAATAACATATATAAAAATTGATAATTTTATTATTTTTATTTGAACGAAATGGTACGAAAAAAAAAAATTAAGTAATATGGTGATATTTATTGTTGTTTTTGTCAAAATAATATTTATTACTCATAGATAATAAGTCATATTTTGTTTAGATTTTTAATTTTAATTAAAAATATATATGTATTTAAATATAATAATTTATTAAATTAGAGTGATATGCGTTTGTTCTGCTTGATCTGCATGATCTGCATTTATTCTGCTTGATCTGCATTTCAGTTTGGTTTTCATTATTTGATCTACGTTATTCATTCGAAGCCTAAGAAACAAATCAAAATTTACTTATAACGAACTTTAGTCAACTCGTTCCTCATAATAAATGGATAAAAATCATTTCTTGATAACTTTCTTCATAGGTAAAGAAATCTGAGAAATGGAATGAGATCGGTGATTCAATGATTTGACAAAAAAACAACCAAATTGGTATAAAATTTGAATAATATTAAATCTGTCATCATTTTTTATGGTCACCAATTTAAGTCATTGTATTTTCAAATTTTTAAATAAACATCCTTTTTAGAAAACTATACTTTCTAAATTATTTGTTGACCAAATCCCCTCATTAAAACAAAAACTAGATTTTGATTCGTGCTTTCAAAGCATGGAATTATTTTGTTTACGAAACGTTAATTATTATAAACTATAATTTCTATCTAGAATTATGTATTTTAATTTTTATAGAATTTTATTTAAATATGCATTGGCATGTGTCGTATTCGTTTTAGTTTATTTTTAAAAGTTAGAAACTGAAACGGAGTAATACCTCGTCTAACATGTCTTGCATTGGTCAAATTTTATTTTTATAAGTTTTTAATCATAAACGATAAGCTGAGAAAAATATCCATATCCTAAAAACCAAACCGAACCCCATCCAAAAAGTAGTACCGAATTTAAATGAAACTGATCAATGCTTTATTGGTTAAAAAATATTTAATATCGGAAGAATTAGAATCAAATCTAACTCTAACAAAATATTTTGGTACCATAAAATACTCATAACAACAGAAATATATAAAAAAAAATGGTTATCCATCAAAATATCCAAATAGCAGGATATCTGAACCATACCCGCAATGTTTAGGACATGGTTTAAATCTCTAATCCTAAAAATCTGAAATCCCAATAGACCCAAATAATAACCGAGCAGATACCCAAGTAAAATACATAGATTTATATGTTTAGTTGATTTAATTAAAATATAATATCATATGTTTAGTTTATTTCTTATTATAATTAAATGTTTATTTGGATTTATATAAGAATCCTTTTATACAAAAATCAGTACCATAGATATGCATATATATATATATATGTAAATATATATACAAGATATGTTTTCAGATTATATAATATAATCATGTTTTAAATAGTTTGAAATTTTGTTTTATAATTGTGTTTTAAATAAAACAAGGATATAAATATTTAGATGTTAATGTCCAAATATATTCAATCATAAATAATGACCCTTAAAAATATCCAATACCTATAGGATTGATTGGTAGGTTCTTTAGAAGTGATGTAGAAGTTTTATTGTATAAAGTAGTAAGCGTGTATTGCATATGTATGGTAATGTGGTTGATTATGTGAGAAATCACGAATATTTTTAACAAATTATAATAAGATAATAAAATATGAATCACATTTTGGTATTCTTATTATAAAGTATTAATCACATATTGGTGTGTATGACAATGTCGTTAGTATTAAACTAAAAAAATATGTGAGAAAATCATGCATCTAGTTATTATAGGAAGGTAGATAATGATTAGTTTAAATTTAAAATTAAATAGCTAATATTAAGACAGTGGCATGAGACGGTAATTCTTTAGGAAAAATCAGGGTTATTTTAAATTTGTACTCCCTTTTTAATAGATTAGTTTTTATTTCCCTTTTAAAATTTGATCGAAAAAAATCCTTCTAAAATTTCTTTTAAAATTTTAAAAAAATATCTGTGAATTGTGATTATATATTTTTATTTTATTTTAGGGCAAACTTAAAATTATCATATTTCTTTATTATTAATGACTATTTATGTTTACAAAATTGAACTTGACTAACTCCACAAAGCTGAACAGTTAGTGGGTTTAAAAGAAACCAATTGTGACGAAGTATCATACCCAACTAAAAAATTGTTTTGTGCTCTGTTACCGAAAACTGCTCGAGGACGACAAAAAATTATCAGACAAATGAACTTTCCATTATTGATGATAAACGTATTGTATTTATCCAGAACAAGATCCGCACCACCTTGGAAATGCATTGTTATGACTGGAAACAAATCCATGTTAGTGGTTCTGTAGCAAAGCATGTTGTCCGGGGCAGCTACTCGTTCTGCTTTCACAACGTTTTCCACTGCCGCCCTCACTTTGTTGCAGTAGCTATCGGGCAAGTAGGTGTAAGTTGTTCCAGAGTCAATGAAAATGTTCCCGTTTGTGGCATGAAACGGTGTCCCCAATGTTTCAACTCGAACCTTCCCAACGCTGACAGCGTCTAGGTTTAGGTAATACATAGAATATGCCTCCTTCTTCCTTAACATATTGGCTGCTACAGTCCCATCTCCCGACACAATAGCATTACTTCCGAAGTTGAGCTTACTAGTTCCTCTCTCACCAGAAAAGCAGTAAGACATGAGACCTAGCATGTCTTCACCCATTTGAGACAAAAGTGAGAAAGATCCCCAGTTTAGACCAACAATCCCCGAAGGGACTGTTTTAAAATCTACTGAGGAGTTGTGGGAACATCCAAAGGTGGTTCCAGGCATTACATAGGGCTTGCCTGAAGTTGATTTGATCCTGATAGTCTCGGTTGCAAATGTCCCTTTTGTATAGCTTTTGTTTGAGTAGGCCATCTCATACGGACAAGATTTGCCATCGCATATTCTCTCTTTGTAGGTCGAGGATTTTGAAGGGTCGAATACTACAGTACCGCTTGGTTTAACGCAGTTACTACAAGGCAAACAATTTGTCCACATGATCTCGCTTCCTGTGCCTAAGATAGCTTCGATCTCCACAGGAGGTGTACCGATTTGTAATTTCATAAGATAACCATAGGAATCAAAGACGGTATCGGCGTAAGGAGATGATCCGAGCTCGTGTGTATTATTAGAGCGACGTTGGAATAAGTCGATGCTGAAGCCACTGGGAGCGGATGATGATAAGACTGTGGCGGTAATGAGAAAAAATGTAAAGATTTGAATAAAGTGTGCCGTGCTCATCATTCGAATTGCAGGATACATGGTTAATCAAATATATAATGTTTTTGATTTTGAGATGAAATGCAACTTTGTTCATACATATTTATAATAATACAGTTAAAAAAATAAAAGGTATGATCTTTAGTCAACTAAAAAGAACTTTAGTCAACTCGTTCCTCATAATAAATGGATAAAAATCATTTCTTGATAACTTTCTTCATAGGTAAAGAAATCTGAGATATGGAATGAGATCGGTGATTCAATGATTTGACAAAAAAACAACCAAATTGGTATAAAATTTGAATAATATTAAATCTGTCATCATTTTTTTGTGGTCACCAATTTAAGTCATTGTATTTTCAAATTTTTAAATAAACATCCTTTTTAGAAAACTATACTTTCTAAATTATTTGTTGACCAAATCCCCTCATTAAAACAAAAACTAGATTTTGATTCGTGCTTTCAAAGCATGGAATTATTTTGTTTACGAAACGTTAATTATTATAAACTATAATTTCTATCTAGAATTATGTATTTTAATTTTTATAGAATTTTATTTAAATATGCATTGGCATGTGTCGTATTCGTTTTAGTTTATTTTTAAAAGTTAGAAACTGAAACGGAGTAATACCTCGTCTAACATGTCTTGCATTGGTCAAATTTTATTTTTATAAGTTTTTAATCATAAACGATAAGCTGAGAAAAATATCCATATCCTAAAAACCAAACCGAACCCCATCCAAAAAGTAGTACCGAATTTAAATGAAACTGATCAATGCTTTATTGGTTAAAAAATATTTAATATCGGAAGAATTAGAATCAAATCTAACTCTAACAAAATATTTTGGTACCATAAAATACTCATAACAACAGAAATATATAAAAAAAAATGGTTATCCATCAAAATATCCAAATAGCAGGATATCTGAACCATACCCGCAATGTTTAGGACATGGTTTAAATCTCTAATCCTAAAAATCTGAAATCCGAATAGACCCAAATAATAACCGAGCAGATACCCAAGTAAAATACATAGATTTATATGTTTAGTTGATTTAATTAAAATATAATATCATATGTTTAATTTATTTCTTATTATAATTAAATGTTTATTTGGATTTATATAAGAATCCTTTTATACAAAAATCAGTACCATAGATATGCATATATATATATATATATATATACAAGATATGTTTTCAGATTATATAATATAATCATGTTTTAAATAGTTTGAAATTTTGTTTTATAATTGTGTTTTAAATAAAACAAGGATATAAATATTTAGATGTTAATGTCCAAATATATTCAATCATAAATAATGACCCTTAAAAATATCCAATACCTATAGGATTGATTGGTAGGTGCTTTAGAAGTGATGTAGAAGTTTTATTGTATAAAGTAGTAAGCGTGTATTGCATATGTATGGTAATGTGGTTGATTATGTGAGAAATCACGAATATTTTTAACAAATTATAATAAGATAATAAAATATGAATCACATTTTGGTATTCTTATTATAAAGTATTAATCACATATTGGTGTGTATGACAATGTCGTTAGTATTAAACTAAAAAATATGTGAGAAAATCATGCATCTAGTTATTATAGGAAGGTAGATAATGATTAGTTTAAATTTAAAATTAAATAGCTAATATTAAGACAGTGGCATGAGACGGTAATTCTTTAGGAAAAATCAGGGTTATTTTAAATTTGTACTCCCTTTTTAATAGATTAGTTTTTATTTCCCTTTTAAAATTTGATCGAAAAAAATCCTTCTAAAATTTCTTTTAAAATTTTAAAAAAATATCTGTGAATTGTGATTATATACTTTTATTTTATTTTAGGGCAAACTTAAAATTATCATATTTCTTTATTATTGTTATTTATTAATGACTATTTATGTTTACAAAATTGAACTTGACTAACTCCACAAAGCTGAACAGTTAGTGGGTTTAAAAGAAACCAATTGTGACGAAGTATCATACCCAACTAAAAAATTGTTTTGTGCTCTGTTACCGAAAACTGCTCGAGGACGACAAAAAATTATCAGACAAATGAACTTTCCATTATTGATGATAAACGTATTGTATTTATCCAGAACAAGATCCGCACCACCTTGGAAATGCATTGTTATGACTGGAAACAAATCCATGTTAGTGGTTCTGTAGCAAAGCATGTTGTCCGGGGCAGCTACTCGTTCTGCTTTCACAACGTTTTCCACTGCCGTCTTCACTTTGTTGCAGTAACTCTCTGGAAAGTAGGTGTAAGTTGTTCCAGAGTCAATGAGAATGTTCTCGTTTGTGGCGTGAAACGGTGTCCCCAATGTTTCAACGCGAGTTTTCCCAACGCTGACAGCGTCTAGGTTTAGGTAATACATATAAGATTCCTCCTTCTTCCTTGACATATTGGCTGCTACAGTCCCATCTCCTGACACAATAGCATTACTTCCGAAGTTGAGCTTACTAGTTCCTCTCTCACCAGAAAAGCAGTAAGACATGTGACCTAGCATGTCTTCACCCATTTGAGACAAAAGTGAAAAAGATCCTCAGTTTAGACCAACAACCCCCGAAGGGACCGTTTTAAAATCTACTGAGGAGTTGTGGGAACATCCAAAGGTGGTTCCAGGCATTACATAGTGTTTTCCTGAAGTTGATTGGATCCTGACAGTCTCGGTTGCAAATGTTCCTTTTGTATAGCTTTTGTCTAAGTAGACCATGTCATACGTACAAGATTTGCCATCAGATATTTTCTCTTTGTAGGTCGAGGATTTTGAAGGGTCGAATACTGCAGTACGGCTTGGTTTTAAGCAGTTACTACAAGGCAAACAATTTGTCCACGTGATCTCACTTCCTGTGTCTATGAAAGCTTCGATCTCGACAGGAGGCGTACCGATTTGTAGTTTCAGCATCATTCGAATTGCAGGAGACATGGTTAATCAAATTAATAATACTTTTGATTTTGAGATGAATTACAACTTTGTTCGTACATATTTATAATAATATACAGTTAAAAATAAATATTTGTATTTATTTTTAAATATTTATTTTTAAAACAAAATAAATAAAAGGTATATGATCTTTAGTGAACTAAAAAGAACTCTAGTCAACTCATTTGTCATCAAAAATGGATAAAAAATATTTTCTTGATAATTTTTTCAATGGTAAAGAAAATTGAGAAATGGAATGAGATCCGTAGTTCAATGATTTGAAAAAAAAATCAACCAAATTGGTATAAAATTTAAATAATAATACATCCTATCATCATTTTTTATGGTCACCAATTTAAGTCAATGTATTTTCAAATTTTAAAATACCCTTCCGTTTTAGAAAACTATACTTTATAAATTATTTGTTGACCAAATCCCTTCATCAAAACACAAACTAGAATTTGATTCGTGCTTTCAAATCGTGGAATTATTTTGTTTACGAAACTTTACTTTTTATAAACTGTAATTTCTATCTAGAGTTATGGATTTTAATATTTCTATATTATTATTTAAAATATGCATTGACATGTCTTGTATTCGTTTTAGTTTATTTTAAAAAGTTAGAAACTGAAACGGAGTAATACATCATCTAACATGTCTTGCTTTGGTCAAAATTTATTTTTATAAATTTTTAATCATAACGATAGAGCCTTAGAAATCAATTTTGTTCGTACATATTTATAATAATAATACAGTTAAAAACTATTTGTATTTCTTTTTAAAACAAAATAAATAAAATGTATGATCTCTAGCCAACTCAAAAAATAACATTAGTCAACTCGGTCCTTGCTGGGCCCAAATATGACCCGGTAGCTGAAGATGACAGGCCTGAATAAGAATAACCAATAATGGGCTTTATGAAACCCGTTAGTAATTACATTTCGAGAAAGACTTTAGAAAGAAGCCGGAGGCTGTTTGCTAAGGAAGGAACGTCGACAAAACAGGTTACGGAGGAGAGCTCCAGACCTCATTTACAAAGAGCTAACAGGAGTAGCTCTAGCTTCTCTCGCAGGAACTTAATAAAACAGCCCAGGATACGAAGATAGAGGCGTATGATTCGGTCAAAAGGAAGCTGTTGCAAATCCCGCAAATCCCTTAGTTTACGGAGGCAATCTCGGAGACTAATCAGGAGAAGTTAAACGTGACCTGAGGCTATTTAAAGGAGGGAGAAACGAAGAGAAGAGGGACTTCTTCGAACTATTCAACACCTAAAGATTCAGACACATTTTATTTGTAACCATCACTGTCGATTGTCATTCTTTCGATTAGATCATCAAGATCATCTTTGTAAACTCTTTTGTTGTCCAAATCAATATAAACAAACGATTTCATTCATACAAGTTCTAACATGTTTCCGCCCACGGTTGTCTTTTCTCAATCTAAACCTAACCTAAACTAGGAAGAAGTGAGTTTTATCCCTCACATTTTGGCGCCGTCTGAGGGGACGAGATAATTGAATCCTTCACTCTGTAACTTGAGAATGGATCCATCCAACCAGGCAACGAGCCCATCCATCCCGGATCCCGTGATCCGGATCGACGGCTCACCAAATAGGAGGGACCCGGACCCTCAGGATCCGGAACCTCGATCCGCCGATCACCGATCCGAACAACAGCCTCCGGCTAATGTTCAACCGAACCGAACTGGGATAGCTAACCCAAGGTCTTCCAGTGGAAACAACACCGGGGTTACGCTCCCTGAGAACCCCCAACGTCAACACGCTCCGCATCATTCGGAAGCTCAGCTATCCGAAATGCGCCGAATGATGGTGCAGTTGGTAGAAAGAGCTCAGGATAATGAGCGTACGTTGCAACAGCTAACTGCCCGGCAACAACGGTTCGAAGAGGTGACTAGATCTCTAACCGAGACAACTCATCCGTCGCAACGTCAAGGCTCAGGAATCGCCTTCCGATATCGACTCACCGAACCCACGTTCCCTCGCGGACGCCTGGACTTTTCCCCCAACAGCACTGCTCGTAATGGGCAAGAGCCTGTTCTCCGGACACCCCTTACTGGGACAACCCCAGTATTTAGTCCACCTATAACTAGCGCTATGGGAAGTAACATAGCGACGACCAGCTCTGTACCCAATAAGGTTCATGAACACAGCACACGATTGCCGCCTCCGCCACCTATTTTTAGGTAAGGAGAAGGAATATCTCCCCCTCCTAGGGGCAGAGCACCAACTTCAGCTTACCAAAATGGAAGCGCGACCCCTAACCGAGACAACCCGAGGGCGGAAGCTGATCCTACAGCTCACCCCCCAGGTCGCGTCCCCCAAGGTGTCTCTACAGCCAACGAGCGACGTAGCCCACCTAACGCTTGGGATAACGATTACACTCGACTCCATCGAGAATCCTCTCATCAGATTCCTCGCGAAGACCCAACCGTCCTTCCCCTAGAAGGACCTGAGGCTATTCGCCGATACATGGAGCAAACTCACGCAGCTCTCCAGAAGCTGAACGCTCAAGTGCATAAAGCAACGAGCTCAGCTCCCGAAATCGAGAGCTTGATTGAGGAAACCCGTGGAACCCCATTCACAAATAAATCGCTAGCTCTTACATAAGAGATACCCGAAAAATTAGGATTCCCGAATATGACGGGACCTCAGACCCCAAGGCTCATTTGAGAGCCTTCCGCTTAGCTATAGTGAAAGCTCATTTCACAAGAGAAGAATGCGAAGCAGGTTATTGCAGAACCTTTGCTGAGAACCTGGTCGGAACAGCTCTCGAATGGTTTTCGAGNTCCCGAATATGACGGGACCTCAGACCCCAAGGCTCATTTGAGAGCCTTCCGCTTAGCTATAGTGAAAGCTCATTTCACAAGAGAAGAATGCGAAGCAGGTTATTGCAGAACCTTTGCTGAGAACCTGGTCGGAACAGCTCTCGAATGGTTTTCGAGCCTCGAGCCAAACTCAATCGATAACTTCGACCAGCTCACTAACTCCTTCATGAAACAATACTCGACCCATATCCTTAAGCAAGCCTCTGAGGCTGACCTCTGGAAGATCAGGCAAGGAATGGGGGATTCGCTATGAATCTACATCGAGAAATTCAGAGCAGTTAGAACTAAGCTCTCGAACCCCAACGATCAAGTAGCCATCGAAGCCCTCAGAAGAGGCCTCTGGTATAAATCAGAATTCTGGTACGAGCTAACACTTAACCCTCCTCCGGCTATCGATGATGCCCTTCACAAAGCATCGAGATACATTACCTTGGAGGAAGAAACAGCTGCACTGGATAAAATCCACAAGAAATCCCAGAATCACCCGAAAGGTGAAACCTCGGAAGCAAAAGGACCCTCTAGAAAAGGGAGCTCTCGGAACCATCAGACCCAGGGAGAACACTCATATGCTGTCGAGGAAGCCCAACAGGAAAAACCCGTTGCCACGACAAGCAAAACTCCCTGGACGAAAGGCTATGATGAGAACAAACACTGCTCTTATCACGATCGAAAAAGGCACTCAACCGAGGAGTGTTGGGACCTCCAACGACAGGATGTGGAACTAAAAAAGCCACCTCCTTACCAGAAAAGAGGTCCCAGGGACACCTCTCCGAAACGCGAAAGATCACCTGAGAAGGAGACAGATTCGCCACCGCCAGCTCCCAAGAAAAGAGTTGACATGATTCTTGGGAAATTTCCCCAAGGGAAGAGTCTGCAAATCGAGACCCTCCTAAGCAAACCTCCGCCTCAGTCGAGCCCTAGCTCAAGAGTGGATTATATCCTCGGAGGCTCCGATATATGTCAAGACTCAGTTAATTCAAATAAGAGCCATGTGTGGAAGGCTGTTTCTAGAGCTCAATCTAAGCCTCCCAATCCCGAAACCAATACTAAGATCTCTTTCTGGGAGAGCGAGACGACAGATCTCGACAGACCTCACGATGACGCCTTAATCGTCACCCTGAACATAGCAGGTTACGAGGTGCCTAAGCTGATGGTTGATACCGGAAGCTCGGTCGATCTTATCTTCTATAATGCCCTGAAAGGGATGGAAATAGATGACTACGAAATTATCGGTCAGAAAGCCAACCTTGTAGGTTTCTCTGGAGAAACAGTTACCTCCTTGGGAACCATCAAGCTCCCGGTCATAGCTGGAGGAATCATGAAAATGACCAATTTTGTAGTCATCGACAGGCCTTCTCCATTTCATGCGATCCTAGGAAGACCTTGGATCCATAAGATGAAGGAAATAGCCTCCACTTATCACCAATGCGTGAAATTTCCAACACCGGACGGAATAACCACCGTAAGGGGTAGCCAGAAGATCTCCAGGATCTGTTACTTGGGAGGATTCGGAATCCTCAAGGAATCACCTCAATAACAATTACAGATCCAGGAAGGTCGAGAGATGCAACAAAATATTCGAGGTCCCCCTAGGAACCTAACCGAACGAGTTAGCATCGATGACTCTGATCCCGAGAAACAAGTGAACATCAGATCAGAACTACCTCTCGAAACGAAAAAGGAACTGATCGACTTCCTGAAAAGCAACGTCAAAACATTTGCATGGATTACCAGCGACATGAGAGGTATAGACCCAAACGTCACCACTCACAAGCTCAATGTAGATCCTACTTTCAAACCAATCAAACAAAAACGCCGTAAGCTAGGCCTCGAAAAAGCCCAAGCTGTCAACGACGAAGTAGATCGACTCACGAAAGCAGGGTCCATCCGTGAAGTACACTATCCCGATTGGCTAGCTAACCCCGTAGTAGTGAAAAAGAAAAACGGGAAGTGGAGAATCTGTGTAGACTTCTCTGACCTAAACAAGGCCTGCCCTAAAGACAGCTTCCCGTTACCTCACATCGATCGCCTCGTCGAGGCAACAGCCGGCCACCAGCTCCTGTCCTTTATGGATGCCTTCTCTGGATATAATCAAATCATGATGAATCCTGAAGATCAAGAAAAAACCGCATTTATAACCG